ACGAGCTGGGGGGTCAGTACAAAAGCGGGCGGTCAGGACGACTTCCAGCGAGAGAAAGTGGCGACGAGGAGAGAGAGAGAGAGAGAGAGAGAGAGAGAGAGAGAGAGAGAGAGAGAGAGGGAGAGAGAGACAAAGTGAAGAAGCGCAAGGGAAGGGGCGGCGCGGGGGGCGGCGACAGCACCTCCCACGGGGGCAGTAAAGCGCGGATGGCGCACCTGAGCCGGCCGCCCCCGCGCCGCCTCCACCCCTCGCCATTACTTCGGCGCGGCTGGCTCACCTGGTTGTCGTGGTTGCGGACGACGAAGTAGCCGAGGACGCGGATGACGAGGTGCAGCAGGTCGCGCAGGTGTTCGAGCACCTGGTCCTGGCCGACGCACAGCCACAGAAGGTGCGCCGAGATGTGTCGCAGCTGCAGCGAGATGCCCTCCGCGCCAAGGATACTCTGCGAGGAAAGTGAAGCAGGGAACAATTACAAAACGAAAGTAGGGAACTCCACAAGGCCCGCTGTAGCGCAAGGACAAGAGGAATGGAAGGTGAGAAGCAGAAACTGCCCCCGGTGTTTCGGATTTCCATCCCGTAATTTGGAGCGATCAGGTCATCAGGTGCGCCACACAATTACATAAGCGTTGCTGCCATTTTGATTTTGTTATTGTTTTTTATCATCTCGATATAAAACGGACAGAATTTTCACGAAGCAGTGTGTCTTCTGCCCTTGCCGCCACCCTTCCGAATTCTCGGTACGTCAGCGCCTCTGCAAGAAGTCGAAGCGAACCACAAGACGGAGGTCCCCACCCTACCCTCACCCCCGCCTCAACCCCTTTCTTCGTCAAGACTACTTGCCCCCGCCAGCGCCTCGCGCGCCCTTCCCCCGCGCGCCCCGCTCCGCCCCTCAAAGCTAATATGGTGAGGCTAGGCTCCCATTCAATTAGCACTGTCCAAATAGGATTAAAGTCGCCAGATCAGATGAGCGGCGAGATGGCAAAGGGGGGAAGCAGGGAGGGGGAGGGGGAAGGTGCGGAGATACGCGGTGCAATTGGGACAAACAGAAGTGGATCTGTGGAGGACACTGCCAATCTGGTCCTGGTGCGCGGGGCTCTCTAGCAGGAAGTCGGTCGGACACACACGCGCGCGCGCGCGTACGCCCCTCAGCCCGGGAAAAGGGGGCATGAAGGTCGCACCCTCCACCCTGCTCCGCCCGTGCAAAATTGACTATGTGTGACGTGCAGAGGTACAGGGCGTTTATCGACGGCACATTCCTTTCTCGTTCGGACCGTGAAAGGGCGCCACGGCACCCTCGCTACAGAAGATCGAAAAACACTCGCCCAGTTCCCCCATGCGCCTTGCTGTGCGCGCGCATGTGGTGCAGTATACCTGGGCGGGTTGTTGCTTCCAGATGCAGTCGATTCGTCGTTGTCGCCCACGTGCGTGCATGTGGTGCAGTAAACCTGGTCGGGGGTGGTGCTTGCTTACCTGGCACATGGCGAGGTCGAGCTCGGCCACGCGGACGAGCAGGGCGATGGTGGCGCGGGCGATGCAGGCCGTGGGCGTGTCGAGGGCGGGCGGCGCCGTGTCGGGCGCGCGCGGGGCGCCGCCCTGCTGCAGCAGCAGCCCGTACAGCATGGACACGGCGCCCACCAGCTCCGTGCTGCGCAGCGTCGCGCCCAGGCCGCTGGGGTCGGCGCGGCCCACGCCGCCGCAGCGCGCCGTCAGCACGGACAGCAGCTCCAGGGCGGCGAGCAGGAAGGCCGACTGGGGCGCGGCCTCGCCCTCCGGCAGCGGGTCCCGGACGGCGCTGCACACCAGGGCCAGCCGGTCCACCGCGCCGCCGCACACCGTGTAGCTGCAACACAAAGACTTTCCATTGACGGACGGACCTCGGGGAGTCGTCGTCATCGGGGGCGTGAGCACCTCCCCGACGACGACCCCGTCGGGACCTCGCGAGCGAGACACACACACAAAACCGAAAGAAGCCCTCGCGTTCCCCGTGCCCCGCCTTCTTCTTATGAACACGCGGCTGACTTGAGCCTCCATGCCAAGAGGCTTGCCTGTGCGCGGGACATATTTGGAAGGGGGACATGTTGACTCAGCCAGCCATCCCCGGGAAAGGGCGGCTGTCAGCAGCACGTCTGCTGCCGAGCGTGGCGCCGCCGCGCAGCCCGAGCAGGTCACGGTCGCGGGGGTCTTGCAGCGCGCACCTTTCTGCTCGATAACAGAATGCGCGAGGCGGGGACACTTCGTGCAGAGTTTGTTACCTTCCCGCAGCTGCGAGAGGAGGAAGTGGGAAAGGGAGGGGCGAGGGGTAGTCACTTCAAACACACGTGTCCGACACGTAGGAGTCACACCCCGGTGGAGACGTCACGCCCGCGAGGCTAGGGGGGAGACCTGCTCTCGGCAGCGCGCGACAGTCGCAATGGGAATATAATTGTCAAACGGAACAATGAGCCTGCTCCCATTCATATGCCAGATTTTCATTCGCCAGACTCCGCGCCGCCGCGACGCACACACAAAGCCTCCGAGTCGATCCTTTAATTCGCTCTCCATTCATTTATATTTTATTTCAGTTTTTGCTGCATTAGGACAGGTTTGTCACACATCGCACGCGGTGACGACTTTGACGGCGACATGCGCATGGCGTTGGCGTGGCTGGCATTGCGGCGTGATGTCGGAAGTCGGACCGGGTGTTTATAGTCAGTCCCCAGGGGAGAAACCGGGAGAAACCAAAATCGAGGCGGTGGCCATCGACCATCATGATCGACTGCACCACCATCAGCATAGTCACCATCGCCAAGATCACCATAGCCGTCGTACCGCGGCATCATTTTCATCAGGACGCGGGGGCTTGGCCGCCCACTTTTTCAAATGACACACTGCACAAAACTGTGAGGGTGAAAATGTACCACATAGACCGGAGGTGGACAGATGGATGGATGAGAGAGCGAGAGAGAGAGAGCGTCGAGGGCTCAGACCCCCATAGGGACGGAGAGGGAGAGAGGAGTGTAGGCACGCGCCCAGCGGCGCGTGGAGAGGCGAGCCAGCTACAAGAGAGAGCGAGAGAGGGAGGGAGAGAGAGGAGGATAGAGAAAGAGACAGAGAAACGGAGAGAGAGGGAGGGGGGGGGAGAAAAAAATCTTGCAGTCGTCACGGTCGGCGGGTCGCACCCCGTACGGAACGCGGGGAGGGGGAGGGGGTGGTATTCGCGCTGTGTACACTGTGGAGGTGACAGGGCCACCCTCACCACGCTCATGGCTCGCGCATATTCCACAATGCCATACACAGCAAAAGATGGACGGCCTAAAAAAAACTGTTGATTTTTTTAGTAGTGGAGACACGAAGGAACGCGGGCAAAAGATTCTTACTTTTGTTCATTTGATAAATAGCAATTTATGTTTTCAATGCATGCACACTCATTTCCAGTAAAGATGGATGAATCAAATTTGGACCACGACCTGTCTCGCCTGAATACAGGCGTCGTAGAAAATATGGCCAAACTCGGTGCCCGCTTCCAAAGCGACTCGCGCCACGCCGGTATAGACTACGACGAGACGTTCAGCATGCGAGCAGTGCCTGCAGCGCGTGTGTGGTGCTAACACCTCCACCACCGCGACGGACGAGGCGGGGCGGGACGAGGCGGGGCGGGCACGGAGGCGTTTTCAATGAAAACATCGCAGTCCGTAAGAGGCGCGGAAGGGGGATGGGGAG